TTTATTTTTTTGTATTTAATTATTAGATTAATAAATATTATTGTTGTATTTGTTAACTTGCTGTTTCTATTTAATTAAACGAATTTTCGGGGGGATTGCACTTCAATAGGTTGCAGCTTTTTTTTTCAGTGTACTTCGGCGGGCAGCAGCCATCGCTCCACGTGTATTTGGCCGCAGGCTAAATGACATTAAATAACATAACAGCCAGGCAACAATGACAACAGCAGGAGTTGCAAGAGCAGAGGCAGGATCAGAAGCAGAAGCAGTGCTTAGAGCCGGAGAGGAGGCGGAGTTGAAACGGTGCTGTGCTGTGATTTGAAAAGCGTTTTACAATCATTTACACACTGTATCCTGTAGACATCCTGGCTGTGGCAGCGGCAGCGGCAGTGAGTGCACCGCCACAACTCGTTGCTGTGTCTGGCATTGTTGACTTCCTGTTACGCAGTGCAATGCACAGGACTGGGATTTGTCACGGCCTACATGCACGTAATTTGTAGGTACACACTGTGCCGAGGGCCCAACAGCACACAATGGAGCGGGCATCAAATAACCAAACAGCGCAGTACAAAATTTTTATTGTTATTCAATTGGATTCGAATTTAGCTAAAAGCGGTCCAAGGGGTCGGTCTCCCTCTACCCTCTGCCCTCTCTCTCTCTGGCCGTGTAAGTGTGTGACAATTGACGCCTTGCAAACAGGAGCTTCCGGTTGAGTCCTCCTCCGTTGATACTCGTACATGCTCGTAGGATCTGTAATTTGATCAGCGAAAGGCGCGTAATTAGCCTGCGACTTTCCTCAGTTTGCACTTTTCAACTTCATTTAGCTGTGTGTGTGTGTGTGTGTGTGTGTGTATGTGTGCGTATCTGTGTTTATGTAATACGAGTGCGCTGTTATGGGGAACATTGTTTGTGTGTTATTGCATTAATTTACAACAATATGGCGCGTAATGAGATGGAATTTGATTATGGCATTGTGAATGCGAATGGGAATTGCAATTGGAAACTAATGCCATTCCGTCCGGTAAGTGGTAAGTGCCTGTGCGCTGCAGTAATTACTAGTTAAACGGCTTAGTTTCATCTTGCAAACTGCACCATTATTTCGTGCTATTTTTGTCGGGGCCATAAAACATCCGTCGCTACACAACTGTCGGTTGATTAAAGCACCTAAATGGCAAATAAAATCGGTACGCGTCACAATAAAAAACACAAAACAAAACAAAAAATAACACCCAACGCCACCGTTGATGAGCCTATTATAGTGTCGGCAATTGCCCCTCCTCCTGGTGGCTGGCGGAAACAACCAAAACATCCCATCCAAACGCACTAAAATGGACTTGTCATAAAGATACACAAGCAAACATATTCGCACAAAAACACAAACCGCAACTGCTAAAAAATAAAGTCCATAAAAAAGGGACGCCCAGCGAAGGACCAACATGGCGGGCTGACCATGCGAGGACAGATAAAATAAATGTGCTAAATGGATAATAAAGTACCAAGAGCGACAGGCATAATGTCCGAACCGACACACACAAAAAACAAACAGCAATTCTCCAGCGAGTGGGTCCTTTTTTAAGCGTAATTTTACTGTTGTGCCCATTGTACTTAATTGAACTGTCAGCCAAAATAGATAAACATAATGGCAAAGGCGGCAAAGGCAAGGAACATGCCACGGACACACGACAAAGGGGAAGGGATACACACACACTCAGCATTCAATCCCATTTGTGTGAGTACTTAGAGCTGCCAAAAAATGTAGCTTTACTGACAGCTCTCATTGAAATTTAGTATAGAGCAGAGTGGAGAGCGGAGATTGGGGAAACTTTGAGCTAAGCTGCGCCACTTCATGCCCAAAAAGGCTGCAATTAAAATAAGTACCCGGCCGCTTGGCTTTGCCAACTGCAGCGCCCGAGCAGACTCCTCTGCATAACCGGAGGAGCAAAAAAAGTGTTACCAAAACACTCTTATATAGCCGCTAAAAGGGGGTACGAGTATGTACGAGTGGTATATAGGGGGTATGTACTATGTATATATATGTATGTATATAAGCACATTGTGTTTGCAAGCTAATTAAGAAATTACTGCAGGCAAAACAGCATTTACCAAAAGCGAAATAGCAGACCCAGACCCAACCCAGCTGCCAGCTGCCTGCTGCCAGCTCCCAGCCCACCCTCAGCAACTCCTCCAAATTGGGCATGCCCATCCACATCCCCAGCCACATCCACGGCACACGGGTCTCTGTTATTTGCAAAAAGCCACTTCACATATGAGAACGGAAAATGAAATTAACAAAAAGACCGAAAAAAAGACCAGAAATAAATGAAAAGCCAATGCGAAATTAGACAACTCGAGTCGCACAAGCAATGAGCTTTCTCAGAGTTGTTTTTAAATAAATAAATACATTTTATATATGAATAAACTAAATAAATAATCTGTATAAATTAAAAAATATTATTTTAAACGAAAGTTTTCAAGTATCTGATTAATTGGAATTAATTAATTGGACTAATTGGAATTTTCTGTTTTGTAACAAAGATAAGATATATCAGATGCTATAAATAGCGCATAATAATATTGAAAAAATATATGTGAATATTTAATATTCAAACTTGCTCCCACAACTAACATGCCCCGTGTAAAAATTTGACTTTCAATGGACGAAAAAAGCGCTCGCTCTCATAATCCAACAGCAGTACCCACACACAAACACACTCACACCGGCTACCCAATCCGCCCAAACAATTCACTTTACATATGAGCAAATGTGGCCCAAAAGGACCAACAAAATATTCAAAAGAGAGAGCGAGAGAGAGAGAGAGATGCTACATTTATGAAAAGCAGCCAAAAAGCAGCCAACCAAAGTGCTCGTTGTCTGGTGAAACCCGCCGAGGGCCCCACAGCCCAGACTGGCAGCCCAGGCAATTTTTATAATTTTGCTACAATTTTGAGGCATTTTATGAAATGAATTGAAATATTTTTCTTTGGTCTCTTTTTCGGGTCCCGGGCCGTTTCCTTTAGCCAAGAAAAGCCATCAAATCCATTCATGCGCTTAAATAAAATGCTCAAGCACTTGACTGCATCCATACAAAAATGTTGCTTCAGCGCAAGCCAGGCAGCTGGGCAGGGTGGGGAGGGGGAATGGGGAAAGCCAAATAAAAGGTTGCCTAATTTGTTCAGTTGGCTTGTACAAAAAATGACAGAAATACAAATAGGAAGGCAAAACCCCTTTTCAAGCAGACATACATATAACAGAGGGTCAGGGACAATGAGAATTGTCCCATTGAAATTAACTTTGGAGCCAACAGTGGAAAGGATTCCTCAATTGTTAGGCCTGTCTAATACTCGAGAGGAGCTTTAGGAGAGTCTGATCTGGAATTGCCGACATTTGATTAAAAGAATCGTCGATGCAGTCAATCCTAAAAGTCAGCCTTTGGCCAGTGGTTATGGCTTAGCCACAAATAAACAATTGCTTGGCTGTGAAGTAAGCGCATTAAACAGACATAAATGGATGTGATTAGTACTATAAATATGCATTCAAACAATAAAAACAAATCGATTTTAACGCCCGCCATTTATGCGCAGTCGTGTGAAATGCCACACTCCACACAATCGCCTATAATTATGTACATATATACGAGTATGTATATTCATCCACAGATACTGTAGCATGAGTAGGAAGGTTTTATCTGCAGCCACACAATTATGGGAGCCTCTGTGTTGGTAGGTGTTTGGTAATTGCAGCTTCCCTTCGCGCCATCACTTGTTAGGCATAACGAAAAAGCATTTTATGCATTTTTATTGCCAGCCATTCTCAGTGCACAATTTGCAATTTATTTTTGCAATTTAACACGCGATGCGAAACTGGAAGCGCGAATCGCGAAACGGCCCAAAGAACCTATGGGCAAGGAAGGGGGCGAGCTCGACGCGACTAAATTGCAACAAACTGCACAATAAATGGCAACTTAAAACGCCTGCCCCAACAACGAACACCAAAACACAAAAGTATTTCGACTTTAAAATACCCAGTAAAATTATTTAAAAGGCGAAATTTGTTGAAGGAAATTCTATCAAGAGAACAAAGAACTATGCAAAAAAAAAGCGTAGCAGCTGCCTAAAGCTGGATCTGTAAATTGTGTTTTAAACTCTCACACAACTCTGTAATACTCCTGCAAGTACTCCTCAAGTGCGGGGTATACGTATAGCCCGGCAAGAATAAAATGCCCCAACATTGCAGGCATCGCGGCAATTGTTGCAAGAGTTGTTGCAGGCATTGTTATTCGCGAGTTCACGTGTGTACATATGTTTGTTTGCTGGTACATATTTCCATCTAGATACACTCGTATTCACATGGATGTACAGTGTATACACCCACGTTTATTTGCGTTGGCAATTAAACGAAAATAACCGTTTGCCGCCGCTTTAATGGCAGTGGGCCAGCAGCAAAGGCAAAATGGCCGGGATAAATCTGTGGAAAAACATTTATAACAAATGCCAGCAAATTGCAATACAACACATAGATGCACACACAAAGATACAGATACCGGGAAGATCCGATACAGATACAAATACTGGATGTGTATGTGGACAGATGCTTGAGAGAGGGGATCGAATAGATTTGAACAAAGGGTTAACTTTAACCTTAACTTTAACTTTGATGAGGGGATATTTACAAATCAGTTGGCTGTTATCCGTGTCGAAATAAGATGCGATTGGGTGAGTATTTAAGGAGGGAACTGTAATAGAATTTACCCTACTTACCACTCAATGAATAACTGGCGAAATATTTTCTATTTGTTTATATATTTTATTAATATTCTGTTCATATGTATAATTTGTTATATGTATATTTATAAGCATTTCATGTGTGTGTGTGTCTGTGTGTTGTTTCAGTTTTAGTTTTGGTTTGGTTTCTGTTTAGTTTGGATTATCTTAACATTTGATTAAAATTAGAAATAATTTAACTAATTATTTGGTAGTTGACACAGCTTGACACATTCCTCCCTCCCTCCCTCCCTCCGCATTCTCTGTTTACGAATAACACTTAACTAGCAATCATGGTTTGGTTGGGCCAGAGAACCGAAGAGGATGGGCTTAGCATTTCTCGAGCTGCACTTACACTTGACCAGCAATTGAAATATTTCGAAGCAGAAACAAAAAACACCACACCCACCTATAATATAAGGTATATGCATATTTATATATGGTCTATGTACACGGTGGAGGGGCCTTGGCTACGCTAAAAGCAAAACGCACGAACAATTTACAAGCCTAAATCTTATTGAGCAAGAGACATTTACATTTACAGGGCATGGGCATAGGAGAATAGTAGTAGAGCAGAGCAGTTGTGCGGGATTAGCCCCCGACCAGCCAGTAAGTAAGTATTTACAAGAGTTTTAGGAACAAACTATCAAAAACTTTTTGCCGTGGCATTTATAGATTTCGTTAGGGGTATGATGGGGTTGGGGTTGTGGTTGGGCATGTCAAGCGGGACTGGAGTAAGCCGTTGCTTGGATTGCGTTGAAACCAATTGGTGTGGACGTGGCCACGGTTATTCGGCCCGGCCCGGCTCGGCTCGGCTCGTCTCAGTAAGCCTTTTGGTTTATCGATTTATCCGCATCAGCTGAAGCAGCAGCAGCATCAGCAGCAACGGAAGACGATGTGGATGTGGATGTGGAAGTGGCCTCCATCGACTGAGTTGAGCCGGTGCCCAGACTCTCGTTGCGTTCCAGGCAATTGCCGCTTTTTGTGCACACCTCCGCCAGAGGCAGAGGAAGAGACATGGACAATGGCAGAGTCAATGGTGTCGATGACCGGATGGGAGTCTCTCGAGTCTCGTGCATCGTGTCGGCCTCGTGCTCCTCATCGGCCTCCACATCGATGGCGGCATCGTCCTCGTCCAAGGCCATGCGCTCCCTCTCCTCATCCGAATCGGCGTCCATCGAGCAGTGTCTCAGCAGGAACGGAGCGGGCGTGCGCGGCGGCATCGGGGGCATTGCTAGCACCATTGATGTGGGCGTTGGCGGCTTCATCAGCGACATGGGCGCCGCCAGGCACCCCACGCCCTATACCAGCGACGACAGCGGCGGCCGCGGGGGGCTGGTGTTGCGTGCAGCGGCCGCTGCATAGTACTGCATCGGGTGGTGGTGTGGCGGCGGTGGCGGAACGAAGCCAGCTGTTGTGCCGTCGTGGTAGAGCACCGGGACACGCACCAGCCGCTGGGCCGCATGCGCCATGTTAGCCATATTGGCGGCCTCCAGCTCGGCGGCCAGCTGACGCTTCCATTTGTTGCGGCGATTCTGAAACCAGATCTTCACCTGGGTCTCCGTGAGGCGCAGCGAGGCGGCCAGACCGGCGCGCTCCGACGAGCTGAGGTACCGCTTCATGTCGAACGTGGACTCCAGCTGAAAGACCTGCGCCCGCGAGAACACGGTCCGCGTCTTCTTCTTGCGCTTGGAGCCGTTGCCATCGCCGTGCGGCGAGGAGCTGTCCGAGGGCCCATCCGTGCCGTCGTCCTCCTCGATGATTTCCTCGCCATCGTCGTCCGACTCATTGGAGCTGGTGGGCAGCATGTACCCCCCGGAATGCGACCCGGCCATATGGTGCGTATGGTGCGCCAGGCCACTGCTGCCACTGTTGCTGCTGGTGGGCGTGCTGGGCTGATGTGGATGCTGTTGTGGGTGCTGCTGTGGATGCTGTTGCTGCTGCTGCTGCTGCTGGTGGTGCTGTTGCTGCTGCTGCTGATGGGGCTGGTAGAGTGGATGGTGGTGCGGGAACACCCACTCCGGGCGGGGGCGACTTGCTGCTGGCCTGACTCGAGCCGTTCGTGTTGGCAGTGCTGCTGCTGTTGTTGTTGTTGTTGTTGTTGTTGCTGCTCTGGTTGGGGCTCATGGAGGTGGGCGACGGGGGATTCTCAGTGGTGTTTGTGGAGGAGCTGTCTGCAAAGAGGCGGAAGAGAGAAAAAACGAGAGACACAGCGGGGTTAGTTGAGAGCGCACATTGGGGGAGAGCAGAAATTTTATTATTTGATTTGTCAGTCTCTAGTCTCGGGTTGGGTTGGGTTGGGGAGTCGCTCTGTCTGTGGGTGCTGGTGGATGGTGGTGCACGAAGGGTGACGACTGGCTTCGGCTAAGGGTTGTTCCAAGATGTTGTCTCTGTGTCTGTGTGTGTGTGTGTGTGCCGTGTATGTATATCTGTGTGTGTGTGTATCTGTGTGGCTGCACAGATTTAAGCTGCAACACTTAACCTCACACTTGTCTTTCCATTTTTGTTGCCTCTTTCTATTTTTGTACGTTTCATTTGTTATTGCTGCTGTTGCTGCTGCTGCGTAAAGCGCAGACGCGGAGAGCGCCACGCCACATATCCGGTCCTTACTCTTCTATGTGTGTGTGTGTGTGTGTGTGTGTGTGTGTGCCTGTCTGTGCGCTAAATTACCATTTAAAATGGCTGTCAGTCGGCTTGGCCGATTTTTTTTTATCGAAGCTTTTAGTTTTGATCTCATTTGAAAAGTTTAAATTGCTGTAATTTGCCTTGAATGGATTCCGAACCGGGCACAGCAGACAGCAAAGCAGAAACTTTACTTCAGGCTGGGCTTAGCCGGGAGACAGAGACAGGGACAGGGACAGAGCGGGGCGGAGTAACAGTGGAAATGAAGGTGATGAACTTAAGGCCAATTTACATGAACAAATGTAATTGCAATGACTCTTAATGCCAAAAGGGCCAATTAAATGGGATTAAACTGCCGCTGTCGCTGCTCGCTGCTGCCGTTGTTGCTGCTGCTGTTGTTGCTGCTGCATTTGTCTGAGTTGCAGTTGCAGTTGCACTTTGCAAAACGAGGCAACAAAACATGTCGGACGCTTTGTTCGTAACTCGTAACTCGATACTCGATTACAAATTGCAATTAATTGAAAATGGCGATTAATGCAGTCGTGTCCGCGGGTAGACACGGGCTACTGTACTCAACATTCCCACACAGGCTTCACCCGCAGCTGCACTGAGAGAATTTGCAATATTAAATTCAAATTTCTTAAAATGGAAATGTTATTTCTGGGTGCTACAGTAATCAGAGTTTAAATTTTGGCTGCGTATCTGCTGCTTGCTTGAGTTTACTTTTCTTCAGTGTACATTTTTCTTTGGCTTAAGACATTTACGTAGCCTGCTTCTGGGGGCAACATTCCTCGAGGCATTAGACCAGTCGGTCGCCGCCGTTGACTGTGCAAATTAAGTTGCATCGAATGCAACGAGATACTTTGAAGAATGTCTGACACGGCACATTCCTGACGAAAACGAAAATTGAAAACGACTGGTATACAGGCAAGGGGCAAGGGGGGCAGGGTAGTCGGCTAAGGCTAAGCCTCAGTGGTATGTGGCAATTGCCTCAGTGTTCAGTTCGCTTCAGTGGGTTGCAAGTGGTTGCTAACTCCGTTAGCTGGCAATTTTTAATCAACTTACCATGGGTGGGACTGTGGAACGGCAGGCGTTGTGGGGCCCAGGGCCAGCCGGGCGGACAGAGGGCGGCATAGCGCCCTGCCAGCGCTCCCCATTGCGAGATGAAGCCCAGTCTGTAATGGAAGAGAAGAAGCAAACACACACAAGATGTTGGTTGGTTGGTTAATAATGCCATCAATTATGCATTCTAATAAATGCGGAGAATCAGAGCAGAAATATTCACAGCCAAAAATAGCTGCCCAAAATGCTGGCTGCTCTCTCGCTCTCTCTCTCTTAGGCCATTAGGCATTTACCGGAGCATTTGCCGACGGCCAAAAAGTTGTTCGGGCTAAGAAAGTTGAAGAATCAAAGTTTGTCGGCTCGGCAGAGGACGGCGAGGAAGAGAGGTGAAAGAGCGACCCTTAAATGGCGACGACCAACCCCATAACTGGCAACAGCTGCTGCGAATTTGGCCTCTCCCAATCCTCCGCCCTGTGTAACTGTCTGCCTGTCTGTCTGTCTGTGTGTGAGTGTGTGTGTGTGTGTGTGTATGTGTAACCTTGTTAACTTTCTGGCTTAAAAGCATCTTTATAAATACGTTTTATTTATTTATGCTGGCATCGACCCAGAAGTTCGCAAGACGAAACACTTTTCGTTATAATGTGTTCCAGATTCGCTTATAGGAAAGTTCAGGATTTGGGGCGGGTTTTTGCCTACCCCAGGGGGGGGGGGGTCATTAAATCAAAGTTTACATGTCAAACCATTTCAGGCAGAAGCCTGAGCCAATGTCTTAGGCGAATGCCTCTGTGATTGATATATCGGTTGTGTCCGAATGAATTTCTGCTTGGGTCTCCCATTGCAGTCTCTTAAGCTTCCCACGCACCCAATGAACTTTGGTGTTTAGCCCGCAATGCAATTCTCACCAGTCTAAAATGCCAACAGCAGCAACACTGCGCCACCCTCTTCGCTGGTCTTGGGCTCGTTTTTGTTTTCATTCTCGCAGTCCTCCTTTTACAATAACGTTCTCTTGGGCTAAGCTCCCCTCCCACACCCTCTTACCCATGGCCCAGCCCTGTGCAGTGCAAACTTTGACCGTTTGGGCAAGTGACCCGTGCACAGACTGTGATTTCTCTTTTTGAGGCGGCAACCCAACCCCACTCAGACCCAGACAATGCAACCAGGGAAGGCAAGTCGTGTGTGTGTGTGTGTGTGTGACATTAACATTTAGTTGACCTCTTTCGTTGCGGCCAAGGGTGCATCAGGTGTGGAAATCAATAGCCAGCGCTCTCGCACTCTTTCCCCTATGCACTGCTTTTTTTTCCTCTCTCTCTATACCTCTCTTCTGCAGTAATGATTTTCAATTAAGTTTACTTTCAGACCAGGGAAATTATGAACCGCCCCCAACTGCTGCCGCTCCAATGCCAGTGGAGACGCTTCAAGGGCTTCCCCCAAGTTGCCAGCTCAAATCACTTCTAATGGGCTTCATGTTTACAGCGTCAATTGAGAGAAAGCCGCTTTGCCTTTCGGCTAGTTTGGCGGAAGCCAGAAGCCAGACCCCAAACAACCAGCAAGAAGAAACAAAATGCTGCTCAAGTTACTCATCTGTCAGCCTGCGCCCTGCGCCCTGTGGCTGGGGCTGGGGCTGGCAAGAGAGACAAAAGAAATTACCTCAATTACTGGGCTAATTTTTAGGCTTTTTCCCCCACACCAAACGAAACAACAACAACATGATAAATCAGCAACAGAAACAGAAAGAAGCTTGTTGCTATTTTGCTTAACTAATTACAGAAATCAAGAGACTCGAGTAATGAAATAAATACGGAATAAATGGGCCCGCGGCCACCACGGCCACCGCGGACAGCCGCCGACCTCCGTTCGGGTGTCACTCTGCGGCGGAAGTGGACGGCCATGTTTTAAATTGGAGTTGCGGGGGCGGCGACGACCAGCACCCCACCCCTGACTTCCGACACCCTAAACGCCAGAGAGCTGTCCGAACTGTGGGCGGGGGGCATCTGCTGTGATGCATTTGCTTTTATTTAGCTTTTAATGAATTGTTTGCGGTTCTCGCTTTGGGCTCCATTTTAGCCCCGGCCCAGCCCTCAGCTGTCATAATTCTTGGGCCGTCCTGGGCAACCTTTTGTCCAACGGATAAAAGTGTGCTATGCAATTGAGTTGTTCAACATGGCGTTCAACATGGATCCGTCCCCATTACGGGTTTAACTACAACGTCTCGGCTTGGGTTTGGGTTTGGGTTTGTGTTTGGGGCGTTTTGTCAACATTTTGCCAAAGAATCTTTGATGTTGACGGCGAACCGAGTTTCGGACTGAGCTGAGTGTGAGGCTTCCCATTGTGATGAGAGATCTGAGTAAAGTTCAAAGTGATTTTGCTGAATGGCTTGAGTTAAGGCTCAAGTGCGGATTCCAAGTAAATTGTGGCAATAACTGGAATTGACTAATTCATGGCACATAACAGAGGCAAATCTACGCCAGAGTTAACCCGCACATTTCGTCAGGGGCTGCACGGGGCCATACAATTGTCACACAATCCCCGAAAGCGAATTACAGAAATTAATTTAAATAAATAAATTTAAATGGAACTCTGCACAGGAGAGTGATCTCTATGCCCGCCGGGGACTGGAAAACCGCTTAGGAATCGCTCATGCATAGCAGATTTGCACACTCTAATTGGTCCCTCCTGTGCGGGACTCCCAATCCCAATGCATACGAATATAATGCGAGTATATGTGAGTGGAGTATATTCACATCGTTGACATTTCGAACGGGTGTCAGCGGTGCGGGCACTGGGCACTGAGAGCTACTCGACCTGGCCGCAGAAGTAGGCAAAATATTGAACACTTGAATGAACCAGGAGCACGGGACAGGGACAGGGGCAGGGGCAGGGGCAGGGGCGATGCTTTTGTCATTAAACAGGATTAGTGTGCAAATATCGCCCAATATTCGTATGCCTGGAGAGCGGCTTAGCCGTTAGGCCCATAGTCTGCAGCTACTTGCCACCAAAAAAAAAATACTTACGTATATGGAATATAAGGAAAATGGTGACATTTGTGAAGAGCTCGAAATTAGTTTCTATTTTTCTTTTTTTTTTGGTTGGTATTGTCGGTTATTGTCTGCCAACGCCATGGGAAGCCCGACCAAATGACACGCGTTCCGAGCAATGTGAAACAGAGGGAAAGTCAAACCTCAGATCTAGATCTGATGCGAGAACTGGAATGGAATATGTTTTGATTAAGGCACAGCCATAGAAATATCATCGCGATAAGGCTGTGGCAGTGCGCGCGGGAATCAAACGCCAGTCACCACTCTAAATGCCACAGTAAGATAATCCCCTCTGCGTCAGATACGAGATACGAGCAAATAGATAGGATTGGTTAGGTCCTGTCCTGATTCCTGATTCCCGTTTCCCTTCACCGTTCCCCATTACGATTGCCATTGCAATTGGATTGTAATTACTTCTGTGTGTGTGTGTGTGTAATTATAATGTCATCGTCCGCTTTTTGCGTCATCCTTGGAGAAAAGAACAATGCCAGAGGGTGAGGGGCAGCACCCTTTCCGTTTGGTGCTGTTTGGTCCGTTGGTCCTTTTGTTTCCAGTCTACTCACAAGCATATCAAGTTACACCTCCTCTTGAATGCTTTTCCCCGCCTCTCCTTTCACTCCACTTTTTTTGGGTGAAGTTAAAGCGTAATTAAGTAAACGCAATTGCAGCAGAGAGACCCACAGACAGACAGACAGACAGAGCTACCAAAAAAAAAAAAATAAAAGCCATTCCCCACTAATTAAAAACGTAAGCGCAACTGTCAAAATAGTTGAGGAACGAGGTGAAAGTCTGCTCAGAAGCCATCAGAGCCATTAAACGATCATTCAGCAATATTTCTGTGGCCCGGCATTAATCATTCCCGTGGCCCAGTTCGATGATCAAGCGATAAACCAGTCACATAGGCAGCCACACGTCAGCTGGGTAAGCGCCAAGCGCAGCAGGAGTCGACACTTGGACGAGGGCGAGATCGGAGATCCTTAATTGGGGTAAACCGGGAACGAGCACGGGCTACAGGGGACAGCGACAGGGACAGGGACAGCGACAGCGACCCTCGCCCAACCTGACTCTTCTTATCGTGAAGATCAGCGGCGCGAGCACGCGTAAATGAAATGAAAATGATCATTATTAAAAAAAAAACGCAGGAAGGGAAGACCTAAACGAGAGGGAGTCGTCCTCCCTCGTTGGAGTCCCCTCTCGTTGATCCGAGTTCATAAAATAAAAGTGCAATACATTCGTAAAGTTGTGTTCTGTTTTTTTTTAATTCAACACATGCCTTAATCGAGCCAAAACGAAATTCGATCTCTCATTTGGTATGCAACATTTTGAAAGCCGACTAAGTGGGGTTAACTTGCCAAGGTATACATATATTCTTTCTTTTTTTTTATTAATAAACTGCAGTTGGGGCATAAACAGCTGTACATATGCCTGTTTGTGGGTCACTTTCATTGCTGAGGGTTCATTCATTGTGGGCAGGGAACATATTTTGCATATGATACCGGAGCATTGTCAGTCTGTCAATCAGTCAGTCAGGAGGCAGTCGGTAAATTTCATTCACAAAAATTGTGCATTGAATTTCATTTAGGCAAATGTTATGTAACTCGATATGCTGGCCAAATTGATGGCCCCGTAATTCGATGTCTGACCGGTTAAGCGATTTTCTGTAAAAATTCGAGGTCAGCTAATGGCTAATGGCGATTGCAACTGAATTCGATTCGAATCTCTGGCAACAATAGAAAACCATTTGCATCTATCTTCACCCACATCCTTCACTTTATGTCTCGTATAACGTTTACTCAACATATTTTTGGAGACTTATCGGAGGCATCGCATTGCATCTTCCAGGCTACTTATTTTGTGTCTTTCCTGCGAAGCGATTTGTGTCACCTCCTTTTGTCCGGCCCCTGTCCCCCTGTCCAGGTGATTATACAAAATTGGCCCAACCAAAATTGAGAAAACAAGTGAAATTGTAGCCTCTCATTGAGGGAACGCTTGACTTTTTGGTTTCAGGTTGGTTCAGAGGATCCTAATCTGGGTCTGCGTCTGCGTCTGCGACTGAGTTCTGAGCCTAAGCTGTGTGTAGCTGTGCTGGCCGAATGTTTTCAAATCTTTTTCGTCAGACCTACCTGGAGAGCATGGCTGCGTCCTGGGGTCCGCCAGGACCCGGGTGTGGCAGTTGCGGGATCGGCGTTATCAGTGTGGAGGCGCCGTTCTTCTTCGCCGGCTCGCTGCGGCTCAGGATGCTGGAGATGGAGAAGCTGGTGAAGCCGTTCGAGCCCGTGGTGGCCTTGTTCCCGTTGCTGCTCCCGTTGCTGTCGTTGCTGTTGGCTCCAATGGAGGCCGCTGCTGCCGCCGCCGCTGCTGCCACCGCTGCCGCCGCGGCCGAGGCGCAAGTGTTGTTGTGGTTCAGTGTCTTGCTGTTGTTGTTGTTCAGGCTGTGGCCCTGCAACTCCTCGCAGCCATTTCGGTCCGGCGACTTGGGCGGCGGACTGAGCCGCTCCCCATGGTGCTGCTGGATGTGCTGGTGTGCGGTGGGGGTCAGGGCGTGCTGCAGCAGTGCGGGATGTGTGGCCACGTGTCCGGTATGCAGATGCCCGAAGCTGTGGAGCGCATGGTGCAGCGCCAACCGGATGGCCGCCCAGCGTGCTCAGATGATGCTGCAGATGGTGGTGCAGCACCGCCGGCGGCACAGCGCCTCCATTGGGACTGTGGTGATAGTGTCCCGTTGTGGCCGCTGACGAGGATGTGGGCGTGCCGGCGGCTGTGTTGGGCGTGGAGCGGTGCGTTGGTGTGGCCGGCGGCGTGCTACCGTCGGCGGAGCGGGCCGGCGAACGGGCCAGCGGACTATCCCGGCCGTTGCTCATTCCGGCGGCGCCCAGTGGACTCGGCTCGGGACTGGACACCACACTGATATCGACTTCAGCCTCAGAGGAAGACATGGCACTTGTTTTGTTTTGGTATTTGGTATTTGGCAACTTAGTTCTTATTTTATTCAAGCACAATCAATCTTTTTCACCAGTCTAGAGTTCACTGAATGCTGTGTGGGCCAGGTGCCAAGTGCTAAGTGCCACGAAAATCAGTTGTCGATGGAAAATGTCGCAGATTTTCCGCAGGCGAGAGCGCAACCGAGAGAGAGAGAGAGACACGTCTGCACCGTTTGATCAACGTTTCGCATTTAACTTCAAATGTTTCTGTTAACAGACGCAAAAGTCCTCGGCACGGTCTCAGGTCTCAGTCCTCCATGTCCTCTGCCCTGCCTCAGTCACTGTATAGGTGGTGTGTGTGTGTGTGTGTGTGTGTGGGAAAGCGATCGTTTAGTATTTTTATTGTTTCAGTCTCTAGATTTTTAACCCCCGGTCTCGTGTCCGTGTCCGTGTCCGTGTTTGTGTCCGGAGAGCCTCTGCCTCTGCTGCTGCGTCGCGTCGCTCGACTGAAACTGAAACCCACTGAGGTGGTTGGTTGGCTGCCAGCTCTGGAAATTCTTTTGGTCTTTGCGCTAAATGGTTTTTCACCAGTTTACAGCACACACACACCCGTGCAGAGAGAGATCCAGAGCAGAGCCCAAGCTAAAGTGCGTGCAGAGAGCGTGATATATTGTACCTGTGTAGGTCTGTATGTCTGTGCTGCTACCCCTCTGGGAGGGTGTGTCCCACTCTCTCTCTCTCGCACTCTCTCAGTCCCTCTCTCTCTCTCTCTCTGTGGGTCGGTGTGCCTCTCTTTCTGGCAGGGTTGCTGCTGTTGCTGTTCTCCCCTTTTTCCATTCCACTTGCAGCTGGGTTTGGGAACTTCTTTTCGTTTATTTCGACAATTGCACTGCAACCGCATCGACAGACACTTTTTCTGTGGCAGGAGCAAAAAGCTTGAAAATTGCCGAGAAGCAGCAGGAGCAGAGGAGCACAAGCAGAAGGCATAGAAGAGGAAAAGTTTGCATCCGAGCCAGGGAAACACTTGGCATTTGGAACATGCCTAAAGTGAGGGCGCACTCGGCTCGTCTTTCGAGTCTGCTCGTATACGGTGTGTAGCTTCTAGGTGTGTGTGTGTGTGGGTGTGGGTGTGGAAGTGTGTCTATTGAAATGCCAATATAAAATCAATCAATTGCCACCTAACAGAGGTCAAGTGCTGCTCTGTGGCGCCATTGAAATTTTCCTGCTGCCGCCACGCAGCAGCAACAGCAGCAGCAGCAGATGGCAACTTTTTTGACCAGAAGTGTTGGGGAATACATGTCTCAATTGATTGCAACTTTGCGGTTTACTGTTTGAGTGGATGCATTTATTTCGAAAAGCAAATATTTATCCGAATATGAGCGTGTGGATCATGTGATGTGTTTTTGGGGGGTAATTGGGGTATTGAAAAGGCAATATGCACAAAATAATTAAATCCTAGAGCACATATAATATATGTTGCTACATTTCATCTTATAAATAAATCAAGAGAACTAAGACTGTAGTTGGATAATTTAAATAAAACATGAAAATATTTTTTAAGTCTAATCTAAATTCTAATCCGAAATTCTTCGTCTGAAAAATGCGAAAATATTCAAGTTTTGTGTATGCTTATTTTATTATGATTCTCTACTAATAAAAATAGATTAAAAAACAAATTTACTCAAAATTCCTTTCGTTATTATTTTCAGATTCTATAGACCAGGATATGAGCATCGAATATTAAGGATAGTTTCCACATATTGTATGGGATACTTTCACACATACTCGTAAGATGTATCTGTGTAATTTCGTTTTAATTAAGACCCTTCCCCTTGCTACTTCCAGTCGCCTTTGCAGTACATTTAGCTATGACCCAAAATGACTTCTCCAACAAATTGTAGCTTCACTCCCATAGCCGGACAGACGTCTTCAAAGCTCAATGCGCTACTGTGTTCCATTCCACGACGTTCCGCTCCGGCGGGCAGAAACCCTCCCCCATGCACTGCCCCATACAGGCGGCCATTTTTACAACTGAGCGCTGCAAAAGCGGAGTAGAAATGAGATGAAAACTTTGCAGACAAAGAGAGCGCACCAGAGATAGAGTGAGATGCAGATAGACAGAGAGAGAGAGAGAGAGGCAAATTGAATTTTTAAATGCTTTCGCTTTTTATGAGACAACCACGAAGCATTCAAAGAGTGTTGCAAACAATTTGGCCGAAACAAAAAAAACATTAGGCGAGTCAATTACACGGAGAGAGCGAGTGAGACTTTCTCTCCACTCTCCCCTCCCTTTATCTGTCTCTCTCTCTCTCTCTCTCTCTCTCTCGCTCTCTGTCTGGTTCTCTGTGAAGGCGTGGCCAAGTCAGACCAATGAGCGAGTCCGATTTGGCCAGTTGCTGGCGCTGGAGAACTTGTGGAAGAGTCAGCGACGGCAAAAACGAATCGAAACCAAAACGAGATAAAAGTAGAAACATTTCTAGCTCAGACAGCGATGCCGAAATATGCGTAGAAATTCATGCGCAATTACATTTATCCTGTTTAGAAGATTGCTTTTGCCAAAGTGCGTCTCCTCCAAGTGATGACGCGGCAGCGCAACCCCTATGCCCTATGCCCTACACCCCATTAACTACACCACATACCCTACACTCTTCTGCGCTAGTGGGTAGCACTACGAGTATATGGACGTTTCTCTGAATTTCCCACTGTGCATTGCTTGGTTTTGTGTGCGTATTTTGATGGAAAAAAAAGGGGGGCAACAACAGCCACGGGACTTGATGCGAGGAGGTGCGACAACATCGACGGGTTCAAATAGTTTCCGACACTTGGGCATTGTCCCACTTTCATTGCGAACCCAATCCTTCCATGGAAATTGCGTTGCTGGTCTCCGTTGTCTCCTTTCCCCCCAGCGAACTTCAGCTTTGCATTGATTGCATTCATTTTGGGAAAACTTGAAAGGCCAACAGGCCCTCAGGAACCCAAACACACTGAAACAAACACTAAAACAGCCGAAGAGAAACCATTAATCTCAATCCCTGACCACTGGCCGGGGCCAAGCCACAAAAATTCCAAAAGCTCTTTTGCTTGGAACATTTAAAAGAAATAACAAACTGCTCAACTGTCGGACAAAACGATTTCTACAACAAATTGCACTGCAATAAAAGCAATGCACAGAGAGAGAGAGAGAGAGAGACCCGACCACCGTTAGAGAGCAGCCGAAAGAGATGGAGAGTAAGTAAAAGAGCCATAAGCAATGCAGACAACTTTGTGTGTGTGTGTGTGTGTGATGTTTCTGAGCGTGTCTGTGCATGCTCGGTGGCAAAGGAGTGTAGCAGCTCTAATTGACGTACGAGCAAAGTGGGAGTTGCAATTTTCATTGACTCCACTTTAGTTTTCCGAGCCACAGAACCTACGAGTACACACACACACACACACACACAAGCGGAGACTTACACCAACACAGATGGGATGACGAGAGTGGAGAGATGCGATGGAGAAGAGAGCCTGCCTGCTTGCCTGCTCGACTTAACTGCAATTAATTTGGCAATTGAAGCTGCTCTCAGCAGGAAACTAACATTATTTTGGACACGGCACCACCGAGACACACTCCATTCCCATTTCGGAAATTTGGCAGTTTTGATTTTCAAACAGAGAAACCCCCCCCACACACACACACACACACACATTAGGCAAATGGCCGGTGAGGGGAGCGGGCCTTTGTTTGTTTTTGTTTTGGTAGCATTTAGCATAATAGGCGAAAAGCATGCCGAAACAATAAACGTGGAGTGGACATGGCAGGGCACAGAACGAGCGAATGAATGAGCGAATGAATGAATGAATGAATGAATGGAATGGTTAAAAGCAAATGGAGTTGTTGTCCACTCCTCCTCCACCCACACACTACACTATGCTACATGGCACCCGCACCCCACCAGCCACCCATCACATCATTATTATCCTTTTGGCTATTTGCTATTTGCGGGCTATTAGTCAGCTAAATTTGTGTGACGCGCTATTCCTTTGCTTTTGGGGCTTGGCTTTTGTCTTTTTTCAGAATGCAGAACAATGGCGGGCATGGAAATATGAAAGCGCACAGAAGTGGAGCGCGGAACACACGCAAACCCCCCCCAAAAACCCATCGAACACCATCCCAAAACCCAACCCAATTCCACGCAACTCAACACAACCCATAACCAGGAGCCACCCCAAATAAAACCCACCCAACCACCTACGACCAACCCCACAGTGCTCGTAAATAACGCTTTAGACTTTGATTTAAATAAATTGTATTGCGAACGGTAATATTTTATGATTTCAACAGTTGAACAGTTTTCGTTTCCGTTGCGTTCCGATTTTCTTTCGCTTTTCCCCACCCATGGGGAGCCCCCCTCGTTGGTTGGCCCTTTCTGGCCGACCTGATTGAGTGCCATTTCTGGGCGCAAAAAATTTACGAGAGACTCGTATGTTCCTGCAAGACACCGAAATACAGAGCCCAGAAGAGCAGGGGAATCAATTGAAATCTAAACATCAAATATTAAATAGAAAAGGGAAATACTTTGGCCAGAATGGAGTTCCCTTTCGGTGTGCACGCAGCTCTAATTAAACAGACAAGTGCAGAACACAGAGCACAGAGCACAGACAATGGCCAAAAGCATTTACGGTTTTGATTTTAAACAATTATGTTGTATGTACTATTCACAATCAGGAGAACGGTATCGAGCTGGACCATCCGACCAAACAAAGGCACCGCCAACAGTATAAAATTACCAATTTGCAGCAGAATCGGGCTTGGGGCGGGGAAATCTGTGGATGCGGAGATGCTGAGAGAGGCAGACAGAGACTCATAAGAGAGAGAGAGAGAGAGAGAGAGAAGAACGATTGTTGAACGAATTGAATCCTTTTGGCTGGCAATACGCTTGGAAATCAATGGCCAAGAACAAGAAGCAGCCCCCGAGTCGGGGGGGAGGGCAGAATCTGATATGGCTCTGTGGCCAGCGCAGCGTTGGAAAATTGACAGATTAATTATTGGTTACCAGTTGCTTGGCCCGAGGGTAAGGCGCAAACGATCTGTGATTTGAAAAGTGGGAGGTGAAATAATAATATTTCCGTACTTAGATAATGTAAATAGGAATCTAAGAAAACCAGAAAATTATGCCAAAATTAAGTTTGTAACAGTCCTGGACGGGTTACCATTTTGTAGATACATAAAAGATACATTCATACATATGTACATATATGTATAATATTTTTAAATATTTTTAGATAAAAGTATTTTTAAATTAATATCATATATTTTATTTGTTGATTAAAAAACCAGGTAATTTCATAGTAATTTCCAAAGAATTTCAATCATTTATATAAAATAAAATAAATAATATATAAAATTTGCATTCATTAATTTTCATCATAAAATATTTAAAAAATATAATTATCAGCCATG